GTTTTTTTTTTTTTTTTTTTTTTTTTTTTGTGACCGTGCTCAGCCATTGAGCGCACCGGCCATCCCTATATAGGATCCGAACCCGTGGCCTTGGTGTTATCAGCACCGCACTCTACCGAGTGAGCCACGGGCCGGCCCGGCATTCCTTCCATTTGGGAAATTAACCCTGAACTGGGGTTCTCTTCCCACATTTATTCTCCAGACCAGGAAGTTACAGGAAGAGAACATAGGTGGGGTTTTTTCTAAGTACAGTTTAACAAGTTTAACAATAGAAGCTGATAACATTCAGTAAGGTGACATTCTATAATGCAATATGTAACAAAAGCTCGATTTTAGCAAACATTCTCTTCTTACAGCAATTTCCCAGTATTTTACATATCAATCAAGCCTGTCTGTCTTTGAGCCAGCAACCTTGCTATGTTACAATTCTTTATCTTACAACAGAGAATATATAGCCTGGGGGAAATTTCCTGTCCTTTGCAAGGTCAATATTTGAAACTGCAAGGCTTTGGAAAACCAGGCCCTGTGAAGTGCATTTGTTTTATGCATACTTCACAGCAAACTTCTATAAGTTTGAAATTATTTCCAAATAAAATTTTTTAAAAATTTGTTAGGTTAGTGAGCAGAGTCAGAATGAGAAGAATTAGCTATGTAAATTTAATGATCAGAGACATTAAAGCTGTGTCCACAATAAATTTATTCCAAACATTGGAATTGATGGGGAAAGTTACCTTTACCTGTACTGTGCTTAAGACATAATGACAAATTCAGTTTTTGAAACTCCCATTTTATAGCTGCTATTCAGACTACCTCCATCTCTGTGTTAGCACATCCTTTCTTCAAATGCAATATGGTACACTCATCTGGATTAAGGGGTGTTCTAAGGGATAGTCACATCCACGGCTGACTTCTTGGGGTCACCTTGATTGAATTTTGTGTATTCTCAGTAGTCAAAGCCTTATCTTTTGGTTTTGGTCTTTTTTTTTTTTTTAAAAAGATGACCGGTAAGGGGATCTTAACCCTTGACTTGGTGTTGTCAGCACCACGCTCAGCCAGTGAGCGAACCGGCCATCCCTATATGGGATCCGAACCCGGGACCTTGGTGTTATCAGCACCGCACTCTACGGAGTGAGCCACGGGCCGGCCCAAGGTTTTGGTCATTTTTATAGATGGCTAATTTCACTCATATTTTGACTTTAATTCTTGTAGGATTAACTAACCAGTGTGGCAATAAATGAAGATACTTTGCTTTCTCTACCACCAAGTTTTATTCACAAGAACATTTTCAAATTTTAACAGATGGCCTTATCCAGATGATTTTAAAAGCCCATTTCGGTATATATTGTACTTTCCTTATAGAATTACCTACTAAGAGGCTTTATAATTTCTTAAACAACCCACAGAATTTGCTTATGCATAAGTCTCATGCATGTTGACTAATTTAGCAGTTAATTTCAGTGGCCTTTTTCCACCTTGCTGTGATATCAAGAGTGCATCTTTCTTTTGCTTTGTTTTCTCTTCTGTATCAGTGAAATGTAAGCATCCTTCTTTTTCTTGATTGAACTGCAGGTTTTATAAGCCTTTCTTAAAATTGATCACTCATTGAAAAGCAAAGGATATTTCCTTCTTTCTTCTTTGTTTGCCTGAACAAAATCTAAAGAGACAAGGAAAAGTCTAGAACTCTTAAATCACATTCAAAGAACGTATTCCACTCTCAATTTCACATTAAATTAGATGTGACACTTGAAAGTTCTTTGAAAAGCACAAAAAACTTATCTTCTTTTGAATTTCCTTTATAAAGTAGAAGAAAAAACCTCAGGCTATGGGGGGGGGGTAAAAGATAAAAACTTGAAAAACTCATGATCTCACTTCCCTGGAGAGAGCCATAGTTAGTTTGAAAATTCTTCAGACTAGTCTTCTATCCAAATAGTATATATAATGTATATAATACATATTGTTTAGTGATAATGAAATCACTATTCATTCTGTTGTGCAACTTAATTATAAAAAATTGTCTAAAATAATAATTTACATTCATATGGCATTGCTTGAAAAGAGATCAAAATATGGGAAAAAATTTTTTTTCAATTTAATCAAAATGATATTCATTTTACTGCTTGATAATAACTTGGTAAAGTGCAAAATGTATTGAAAATGTACATTTCAGGTTATAATGTGAAAATAATGAAAAAATCCATTCTTTTTTCACAGCATTAATGTATGTAATAAGTATAATTTTGTGTTTATATATGTTTCTTTCAGGGCTGGTGGTTGGATTTATCCTAACCATTGCAAATTTCAGCTTTTTTACCTCTTTGCTGATGTTTTTCCTTTCTTCTTCGAAACTCACTAAATGGAAAGGAGAAATAAAAAAGCGTCTGGATTCAGAATATAAGGAAGGTAAATTATGCTTGACACTACTCAAAATAGTAAACTTCGTTTTATCCTAACATAAGCTTTTACTCAGAACATGTCATTTAGACTATCAAAATAGATAAATCTTAGATGATAATTACTTTAGTAGCCTAATTTACTTTACCATTTATCTCACCACAATAGGAAATAACAGCAGGATTTTAGAAGTACTGGTCTATCATTAATTATTCTAGAGTTGTTAATAATAGTATAGAATGCGGGCAAAGGTGCCATACCACTTTTAGTCTTTTTTAAAA